TCTTAGTTATAGTAAAATAAAGATTTACCAAAGAAAATGTTTGAAAAAGCTTGAGCAAATAGTCCTTAATGATTTAGTGTTACTGATCATATTTATATAATACATTTTCTTTCCTACAGTTGTCTCTGAAAACCAAAACCAGCCTGCAGAGCAACATGAACTCCTGCCGAACAAGAATGGAGAAGGATGTGAGCAGAATGGTGGTGATCAGGTCTGAAGCATCCATGAGAACGTCCATTACAGCACAGAAGGACTTACATGAACCAGATTTCCTTAAACAACAGATACATTTACCATTGGGCAGAGCACACAAACTAGGGGACAACGAAGTTAAATCTTTTTCTTTCTCAGAAAACTGGATTAGTAAAAAATGTTCTTTTACTGTTTTCCATGTAATGGGTTTTAAAAAAGCATGAATGATTCTTTAAGATAATCCTGTCACAGTGAAATTTAGATGAACATGTTTAAGTGCTCACAGGTCAGCAGTGTTCCTCCAGGAGTTTAAAACCTAAAGAGTTCAGATCAACCTGAAAGTATGTGGTCAGTACCAAATGGAGGATTTACTCAAAGCCTAACATTTAAAACCAGGTTTATAGACCAGTCAGGGTTTCGTTCAAATTGGATGGGTGGAATTACCAAAGCACTTTAAAAGACATTAAGACAGATCGTAACATAAGAGCATGAAAACCTGGTGCTTCACTGGTGTTTGATTCAGTAAGTTTCTCGGTGACACACTTGAGACAGATGGAAAAAAATATTTAGGAGTGTGATGTGGTTTGTTGTATTGGTGTATAGAAGTATACATTAAAAACAAAGACGAAAAAATCAGAAAAGCATCAAAATGAATTAAAATGTTTTTTTAAAAGAAAATTGTGGCTACACAGAAATAAAGTTTAAAGTGTACCGTGAAGACCTACGTCAGTAGTTTAATCCTATGTCAGCGAGCGCTGTGCAGCCTGGAGTTGAATGATTTTAACACCCCAGAGTTGTCATTATATTTGGCTGATTATGATGAAATTAGATAAAAGGTTTTTAATAAGGTCTTCTTCTCTTTGCCAAAGTTAGTGAAGTTAGGATAATAAAAATTACACTTTGTAAATAATTTTCTAACTTTCTTGTTTTTGAGCCTTTGAAATTAATTGACACTGTGGATTTAAGAAGCTATTGCTTTTGGTAGATTAGACCAAAAATTGTGAAATTATCGTAAAACTTAAGTTGTGGAAACATATTTTCATACATACAGTCTGTAAATTGAAATCACTTAAAATGGTAGCTAGTACTTCTACTTTCTCTGTGTTTTTTGAATGATTTTCTGGGTTCTAGCTGTATGTTAAACTGTCTTTAGATATACTTTATTGTAAAAAGTTAAGCCCTCCTGATTAAATGGAGTCTTTTGAAGAAATATCTGCTGTAATACTCAGTGTAAGAAATGCTTTCATGTCAACATGACAGGGATTATAATGCAGGACTGACAGATATTTAATATTTGCAGCTGCTGTTTGAAATTTGTTTTGGTCTTTAATGCAGAGAGCATAACGTAATTAAAGTTGATGTTTGTATCCTGTCACTTCACAAATCCTCGGGCTATCCTGTTTGATCCCTTTTGTATGTATATATCATAACATATCACGTTTTTTTTCTTCAATAAAAATAAAGAAAACCTTTATTTCCTGTGTTTGTGTATCAAGGGCCACCAGTGCCAAACTGAAGGAGTGTAGGAGTTCTCTTTGGGGGAGAGGTGGAGAATGAACTTAACCTGGGTGTCTATTGTCTTGTGTAGTCTGCAAGATGATTCCTCTGTGGGAACATCTCAGGCCCTCTAAAGTATTGAGGCCTATCTCCCCACCACACTCCCTGCTGGTGGCTGATGCCCTCA